TATATATATATATACATATATATATATATATATACATACATATATATATATATATATATATATATATGTATATACATATATATATATATATATACATACACATATATATATATATATACATATATATACATATACACATATATATATATATATATATATATATATATATATACACACACACACACACACACACACACACACACACACATACATACACACACACATACATGTTCTGATGCCATGCATCACTTCAGTGTGGCAAATACATGATCATGGTGTTGAAACATAAGGCTGTAATCTTATGCATGTTATAAGAAAAAAAGTTCAGCTGAGTTCATTCATAGGTATGCATTGAATTGGCTGTTGCAAAGTATTGGTGGCCCGTAATTCACTTGAAATGTGTGGTTATCATCTACCTCACTCTGTATGTCACTGCTAGCAACACCACTAATATCAAGTGGCAAAAAAATTGTAGTTTATTCTTTAAGAGGAAACAACAATGTTAAAGTTGACAGCTTTTTGTAGTGAAGCAAAAATTTTCACATCTTGATCCTAGATATGTTATTAGTGAATATGCTTTCATTGAAATATTACACTATTGAATTAAGTGAACCAGTGCATATTTCACCAGTGAACAAAGTGCATATTTTATATTGAAGAATTATTCCTTGAGATTCTTAATTTTGGGAGCTCATATACACGTGGTTTATCACTTCATCCACTCTGAAGTTCTGCATTATCGATCCTAACAAATGTCATATATGCTAATATATACTTCTGTTACACAATTGCTTTGTGATCCATGGGCAAAATGACTTAATTATAAAGAAACAAATTAAGGCGATCTGAATACAAATAAGTATTCTTTTAATTCAGACATCTAGTTGTGAGCTGATTAAAATAAATGATAGTTTGGAGAAAAAAATTCCAGTTTTTAAAGAAGTCTGTCTTTGAAGTTCAGAGTATTTGATTCTTCTGCAATCATAGTTTGTCTAAAGTTCATTCTGTAACTTCCTAGCTGCATAACAGTGACTGATATTTTTTAAATGAAAGAAGCGTCTATGTTCCTTGTCAAGCAAATATGAATTATAATTTAGCAAGGTCTTAACAGTAAATTTCAGACAAGGGAATCTAAGGGACAGGTAAACTATATTTACATAAACTATCATTTTGATAATACACAGCAACACAGAATATAGGATAATACAATTTTTATTTGAGCAGCTTTTTTTCTGCTTTTGCCAGCACATTTTCTATGATATATTTTATTGATAATAAAAACAGTAACTTGGGAGGTACTGTTTGTGCAGTAGAAATATTAGGACTTCCCAAGAACATTTTCTGAGGCTTCTACAGGTGAAACTTGAAAAATTAGAATATCATGCAAAAGTTCATTTATTTCAGTAATGCAACTTAATGAAACTAATATATGAGATAGACTCATTACATGCAAAGCAAGATAGTTCAAGCCGTGATTTGTCATAATTGTGATGAGTATGGCTTACAGCTCATGAAAACCCCAAATCCACAATCTCAGAAAATTAGAATATTACATGCAATCAATAAAATAAGGATTTTACATAGAACAATATTGGACCTCTGAAAAGTATAAGCATGCACATGTACTCTACTTGGTTTGGGCCTCTTTTGCAGCAATTACTGCCTCAGTGTGGCGTGGCATGGAAGCTATCAGCCTGTGGCACTGCTGAGGTATTATGGAAGACCAGGATGCTTCAATAGTGGCCTCCAGTTCTTCTGCATTGTTCGATCTCATGTCTCTTTTTTCTCTTGACAATGCCCCATAGATTCTCTATGGAGTTCAGGTCAGGCAGGTTTGCTGGCCAATCAAGCACAGCAATCCCATGGTCATTGAACCAGATTTTGGTGCTTTTGGCAGTGTGGGCAAGTGCCAAGTCCTGCTGGAAATCCCCATAAAGCTCGTCTGTGGAAGGAAGCATGAAGTGCTCCAAAATCTGGTAGATGGCTGTGTTGACCCTGGACTTTTTAAAGCACAGTGGACCAACACCAGCAGATGACATGGCTCCCCAAATCAACACAGACTGGAAACTTCACACTGGACTTCAAGCATCTTGCAGTATGTGCCTCCATTCTTCCTCCATACTCTGGGTCCTTGGTTTCCAAATGAGATGCAAACGTTACTCTCGTCAGAAAAGAGGACTTTGGACCACTGAGCAACAGACCAGGTCTGTTTTTCTTTAGCCAGGGTAAGACACTTATGACGTTATTTGTTCAGGAGCGACTTGACAAGAGGAATAAGACATATGAAGCCCATGTCCAGGATCCGTCTGTGTGTAGTGGCTCTTGATGCATCGACTCGGTCCACTCCTTGTGAAAGTCCCCAACACTTTTGAATGGCCTTTTCCTGACAATCCTCTCCAGGCTGCAGTCATCCCTGCTGCTTGTGCACCTTTTTCTTCCACACTTTCCCCCTTCCACATAACCTTCTATTAATGTGCTTTGATACATCACTTTGGGAACATCCAACTTCTTTTGCAATTTTTGAGGCTTTCCCTCCTTATGGAGGGTGTCAATGATGGTTTTCTGCACAACTGTCAGCTCAGCAGTCTTTCCCATGATTGTGATTCTTACTGCATCAGACAGACCATTTAAAGGCTCAGGAACTCTTTGCAGGTGTTATGGCTTAATTAGCTGATTAGAGTGGGACACTTTGAGCCTAGAATATTGTACCTTTTCACAATATTCTAATTTTCTGAGATTGTGGATTTGGGGTTTTCATGTAAGCCATACTCATCACAATTATGACAAATCACGGCTTGAACTATCTTGCTTTGCATGTAATGAGTATCTCATATATTAGTTTCACTTTTTTATTTATAAATGAACTTTTGCATGATATTCCATTTTTTTGAGTTTCACCTGTATATAGATCCTAAAATGTACACTTATAATTCAAGACATATGCAGATGTGGCTTTAATAGCAATGCCTACATTCATCTAGTGGATACTCACTTGTACCATGCTATTTAGCTGGTGTACCTCTTCAAGGTATGTTAGCAGTTGAATAGGGATCAAGCTACATAGATCCAATCAGCACAACTCATGTCATTTCGAGAACTTAGTCTTGGACTATATAGTCAGTCATACTGAATTCAAATCCAATGTGTTGACAATGAATAGGCTGTGACCTTAACACTATTTTCAGTCACGTACAGTAAAAACACTGTACCCAGCATATCTTCTATATTCTCATTTCAGTACTTTGGTAGGAAACATGTTTTATGCAGAGGCCTTAAATTATTCAAGGTAAATATTTTTAAACAGATGGGATGCTGAAAGAAGCTTAGTTTCAGACAATCCAATTGTTTTTGGATAAATTGCCTAAGCCAAATCAATTATAGGGACAACTGAATTGATTGCCTTCAAAATCCATTTTTAGGCAAAATGGGGCAATAATTGACCTGCAAAATAAACTTTTTAAAATAGACTTCCTATGTCCACTTCTCCAAAAGAAATAAATGTATAGTAAATGCTATTTATTTGAATATGTTGCTCTTTACATCTGTATTGGGTATTACAAGCAGCTAACAAAATTTTGTTTAAAGATAACACTGAATTAAAATTAGCAAGAAAAAACCATTAACAATAAAGAATGTGATGAAGTGTGTATGTACCAATTCAGGAGTAATGTAGGAAAAAGTCCCCTTTCTCATGACCAAACATCTCTGAGTGATGTTTTTAAAAATGACTGTGAGGGGGAAGTGTGTCCCAATCTAAATGGAAGTTTGTAAGGAAAACAAAAGAGACCCTAAAACATTTGGGACTTTAAGAATAGCAGCTCTTTAAATTATACTTGGCAAACAAGTGGTAACCAGTGCCAGCAGTTTATGAACTTTGTACCTTACATAATTTGGCAATCTGCATCCTGTATTTTGCACCAAATGAAATGTTTGGATATTTCAAGGGTAGCCCATAGTATGTGTTGCAACAGTCACAATAGGATATAATCAGTGCATGGACAACTTGTAAAAATCTAATCTTGGAAGGAATGCAGGTATCATAATAGATATAATTGTACAAAGATTCATCAGCATCTTCAAATTCAGTGGAATTTAGTAATCAAAGCAGCACTATTAACTATAAATGTTTTCACAGGGACTGCAATTGTATCAACAGCATATATCTCTGTCTCAGAATCCAGGTCATCTTTTTAACCAACACTAACATTTACCTATTATCAAACTTTACCTAAATCTTCAAAGTTACCAGATGCTTACTTAGAAGTGTGTTGAACTGATTAACATCAGCCTAGCAATGACATCTGACATCAGAAATCTAGAAAAAACTCCCCTGTCAAATTCAGAAGAGGGATACAAAATTAGATTCAAGTCAAAATAATGGGATCACAAATCAGTACTGCCATCTGGATATTATTTGTTAAGAAAACTGGAAGCATTGTAAAACAATACCAAACTTCAATCCTCAGGCAGTCCATAAGGTTATTTCATTATCTTATCTTGGTCAAAAGCCCAATTGAAATGGATCCACAGAATCATTCTACTTCAAATGCCAATGACCTTAACTGCCTTCTTTGGAATAGGGAAATATAGGGAGATAATGATTGTTAGTATGGCTTATCGAGGTCATTTAAATCAGCCCAGAAAATGAAAATTGCATGATTAGGTAATAGCTATTATAATTCTGCACCTTAAAATCTACAATCTGAAAGAAATCCAAAATAGTTCTCAAGATTACGTCCTTAGAATCTGCCCAAGCTCTACAGTCCTCCTACATAATATAGTGGACACTAGCAGCTTAATGTCGAAAAACAGTATCAGACAATTTCTGGGGAAGAGACCTGGTTGCCTGTACTATTGCAGTTAAGATTTTAGATGGGTTTCACTCTATATATGATCTGACTCATTCTAAGAGTTACTTCATAGCCCATTAATTTCATTATTTAATAAATTAAGATGATCACTTGGCTCCAGGACGGGGATGCAAATGCTTAAAATGTCAATTGCCCAGGGAGCTTCCCCATTCATGTTTAAAAACTATTACATTCTGGTAATTAACCTTAAATATTCCCATAAATTAATACAACCTTATATCGATTCATTTGTACATACAGGATTAAAGTTTCATAGAGGTTAAAATACTGAATAGTTTATAACATACAATGAGATAGAAATAAAAAAGATGGTGAGAAGGTTCTGTGGAGCAAAAGATAATAATCTGCTTTGGAACAGTTGCTTACTATAAAAAAACACAACTTCTCAATAATAAAAAAAAGATTGAAGACCAATCTATAGTGAGATAGGATAGATTAGAACTCTTGTCATGTTTATTCTCTTGGATGCATAGAATGCCTCTTCTTTTTAGGAGCAAAGTGAAAAGGAGTAAAACTTCAGATTATCTGTCCATAAATATGCTGATGTACGTCAGATAAAAGGCTGTTATTAAAATACAAAAAATAACATTTCTAACATTTGTTCCACCAAAATGGAAATTATAATGGATTTCAATGAAATTTCTTATTTACAAAAACATAGAAAACTTGTCAAGTGACAAATTCAAGAATATGAAGAAGTTTGAAACCACTGCAAAGGAGGAAGCATTGTATTAAATACAGCATCGGAAATTAGATTGTTTATTTTCTAAGCTACAAAGACAATACTACCCTATTTCACAGGGATGTTGTGAGGTTGACTTCAGCTTTATAAAATGTTTTTGAGTTTTCCAATGAAGGTGCTATAAAAGTACAAGGTGTAATTAAATTTGCTGAAATCTGTCACAAAAAGAAAATATTTAACTTGATTTTATTTACAGTATTTTACTACTACTATAGAAAGTTCTTTACACATGTTAATGATAATGTAATAATGGACTTTCTAAAAAGGCATGGTTGATTTTTCAAACTTTATACATTTCTTTTTGGTTCTGTGTGATTACTATGCTGATATAATTGTATTAATAAGGTTCTTGGGATTTGCATGGATGAGATGAATTATCATTTTTGTAATCTCTCTGAATGAAATAAATTTAACATTCACAGTTTGTTATTCTTTTTGTAGAAATCTTCTGTTATATGCTTTTTCAAGACAAAAGTAGTGTTATCCTTATCAGTTATATTGCCTGAGAAAAGGTCCTTGAATCAATTAGCAACTGTTCAATATTGCATCAAATCTGTTTGTTTCTTATTTACTGTAGACACCAAGTAGTTTCTTTAAAAACAAAACTAGCAAACATCAGGTTGAATTTTAGTTTTACTATTAAAGAATATAATCTAAATCTTAATTTCCAATTCTCCAAATACTGATTTTTTTTCCTCATTTGCAATTTTTTGAAATTATTTTTGAAAAGTAAAAACTCAATAAAATTTTGAAAGGAGACAGTGAATGATCTCTTCTTTGTTTCTGCAAAGTAGCTGTTACTTCAAATCTTGCTATTCGTACTACTGCTATTGAAATAAATGAATAGGAGGCCAATTTAAATAAACTGTCTCAGATGTGGCTGATACTTGCTGTATACAGATTCCTTGATACTACTATTAAACATTGATTTAACAAATGAAAGAACTGGGAGAATACTTTAAGCATGTCAAAATTAGAGCTTTATATAAATTACATCCCAGTTAATAAGTTATTTGGAAACAAAGTCTGAAATTTTGGTTAGGCAATTCTGATTTTTTTTAATTTAAAAAAATCAGATGACCCTTGGTCTGAAAGGTAACGTTCTATCTTTTTAGAGATGCTTAACCATATTCTCCATTGAAAAGAAAATTCCCAAGTTGCTAAAGTTAAAATGCAGGTTTTTAGAAAAGGAAAGATAAATTATAAAAGCAGGAAAAACTTCAATGAGGCTATGCCCTAATATAAGCTGATATAGCAACCTATATTTACATTATATAATTGTCTTGTGGAAACCAATAAGAAAAGACAAATGCAGGCAAAAGTTATGTTAGGTGGCCTTGTGTATTTTATCTAAAGTTTTTTTTAAGCATTTACTGAATAAAGTATTTCAAGGATCATTTCAAGTACAATATGAATATAACTACCTATTCCTCCAACCCTGTAATAAAAGTTGCAGAAGTTTAATTTTGAAAAAATGGCAGTTATTTCTTGAAATCTAAGGCACACAAAAATATAACAAAAATTAATATCTTTTATCTTGGAAAGGAAAACAAATAGAAATTGAAAATTTATATTTTCAGATTAGTCGCCTCAGTGAATTCTGGATCTCTTTGCTGTATGCTTTTCTTCAGCAGCTTTACGTTTTTGAGACAACCCAATTCCAAATATTTTACTATTCTGGAGATAAGCAGCAGCTTCTGGTAAATGATAGTTTTCCATTGAAGGTGGTGGTTCCTTAAAAAAAGGACAGTTTTTGAAAGAGCTTTAAGAATTATACTTTCAGGTTTTTTATCTGACATTTTCTTTTAGTCTAATCTTCCTGCTACCATATATTCCTTGTTACAAAAACAATGGAGAAACAAATTACAACTTGAAAGCATTATCTTATACTGCTATCTGAAAAGTTTATGTTGAAACCAAACAAATAGGAATATAATTTGTCATAATCTCTATTCCTGAGACATAAAGTGAATGTAAGAGCTTTTCCACCCTTTTAATTGTGCACAAAGCATTCCACTGCGGCATGCAGTGATGGGTTCTGGACCCCATTCCAACTGATACGGTTGGAATGGGCCCAGCGTCATCCACATGGACATGCGCACATGTGCGCAGCTCACGCATGCGTCTTATTGTTCAGCGACACCTCCGCGATGCTCCAGCTGCTCAGTGGAGCATTGCACAGGCGCTGTATGTGCTATGCGTGTGCGCGGAAGCGCTGAAGACTTTAAAGACAGGTAGGGAGGGCGGGCGGGCCCTCTGGAGCACCATACCAGAAAGGTACCTGCCTGCAACCCACCACTGGTGGCATGGGGCATATTTTTATTTATTTATTATTTATTTTTATACCGTGCTTTTGCTCAATGAGTTTGAGGCAATGTATACAGAACTCTTAATTTCTTCTACTGTTGGGTAGGTTGGACAGAAAGTTGGTGGGAATGGGATAAAGAAGGGGAGAGGAGAGAACTCTAAGTCATCTAGGGAGCCTCGAAGGCTGTGGATATTCAATCTGGTCCACCTGAATTCAGCTAATCATAATACCTGAATATAAAGATAAGCCCTTGATTTAACATCCACAACTGAAACCAGAATTACAGTTGGTAAGCAATACAGTTGTTAAGAAAGTGATTATGTGACTGGATGTATTTTATGAGAGTTTAAAGTGTGGTCATTAAATGCATCAATCACAGTGATTAAATAATTAAATAATCTGGCTGCCCCAGTTGCATTGCTTAAAAACCACAGCGGCACAGTGGTTAAACTGCAGTATTGCAGGCTACTTTTGTTGACTGCCAGCTGCCTGCAAGTTGGCAATTCAAACCTCACAAGGCTCAAGGTTGACTCAGCCTTCCACCTTTCCGAGGTTGATAAAATGAAGATCCAGATTGTTGGGGGCAATATTCTGACTCTGTAAACTGCTTAGAGAGGGCTGTAAAGCACTGTGAAATGGTATATTTAGTAAACAAGACCATCTAAATGGTATTGCTTGTCAGATACTGACTGGGAAAGTTCCAAATCATGATCATTGTGACTGCAAGACACTGCAACTGTTATAAGTGCAAGGTGGTTGCGAAATGCTCAAATTTTAATCACATGACTGCAGGGGTGATGCAACGTTCATAATTTTGGGGGTGACTCGTAAGTCACTTTACTGATGTTGAACCATTGTTAGATGAACAATGAACAAATATGTTGAGGACTACTTGTATGTAATAAAACATAGCCTTGATAATTCAAAACTGTATTATGCCACTAATATACAAACCTGTATCAAGTAGTCAGCAATGTATTCTGGCTTCAGACAATTAACCCCTTGAGCTGTAGCCTCTCTTATATTAATTCTCACATCTTCTGGCTTCAGTTTATTAAGATCAGCAAAAAAATGAGTAACTTCTCTAAAGATAGGTGGAGAATATGCAGATAACACCTGTAGATTCAATCAGGCAGAGATTCTGGTTTACTTATATAGTATGTATGGAATTTGTTTTGTCAATTTCAGGAACTGAACAAGATCATCTAATATGTAGCCTTCAAGAAAACAGCTTGTCAGATTTTTAAAAATGTACACAGCATTTTGCTGAAATATAATACAATACTAATGATGGATGATGATTAATGTCTGCTCATGTGGGGAAAACTCTCATGAGACAATATATTGCATCTGCATTTTGCAAAAACTTATTGTAAATCATAATTACTTAATTTTTTTGTTTTACAAGTAAATGATGTGCTCTCCCACATTTTCCCCTGTGTAGATATGAATGAATAACATAGATCTAAATATCTATATGTTAATAAAATTCTTATCATTTAACCAGGCAAGTGCATCATAGGGCAACAATTTTTGAATCAAGGTAATTTGATTCAAATAGTCTTAATTTACAGAATGTGTCCAAAATCTAGGACCTAGGACTTCTGCCTGCACCCCTGGTAGATTGGGTCTGACTTGCGTGAGTCCATTCCCAAACACTCTTACCAATCCATGCCACCCAGGTATGCCATCCTTGACCAGCATGGCCCTTCTCACATAACCCTGAGGCCATCCAAGCATTCTTGATTCATGCTACCTCCACACATGTCTTATCTTATCTGGTGGCACCTCATATGCACCCACGGCCCCGTACACCCTACTTGACCTACACCAACCCCAAGAATCTTCCATGATTTACACAGCACTTCTTGGGCACTCCTAGGCATCCTTCCTGATGTATGCCATCCACCCACATCTTCCTCAATCCATACTGCATTTCTGGTGCACACCCATACAACCCTGCCACCCATATGCTCTTCCTTTTTTACAATTGAAATAATTCCTTCAAATGGAATTCTTTCAATTATAAAGAATTATTAAGGTTTAACATACAATGTGAAAGCATTCTTTTTTATTAAAATAGCAACATTTCCCTCACCCATGATTATCAAATATACTGATATCTAAACAATTAAATGTATACACAACCTTTGCACCTCCTGATTCTAGAAGACGCTTGAAGCCTGATTCCTTTGCTGGATCAACATTCAAAATAACTCTCCAACCACCAAATGCTCCCTAAAAAAGAAAGAAACATTCATTCATATTTATACATGTTTGGGTGTGCACCAAAATATGGTGTGCACCAAAATTTTTGTCACACTGAAATATTTTAAATTTTTTACCATTTATATTTCAGGCTCAGATAGACAATGCAAGTGAATTCTAAGATTAATTAATCTTAGCAATTTTTAATCAAGGAAGAAATATAGATTAATGTTCTTCACTGTTCCAATTCAAATTGCACCTTATTCCTGCACAAGATACTCTACCTAACAGCGTGTGGTTAGAGTCTCAAAAGGCAAAAAATGCTGTACCCGACTCAGAGGAAACTGCAGAAAGACTTCAGCAATACCACCACCCACAAATAACAAGTCAAAGCCTTTCTGTTACTTTGAACAAAAAAAGGAAATAAAATGAATTACATCTATAGCCCTTCCATGTTTCAGTACATGTTGCGAGAATAGTTATCTGAATATGCACTCATATTGGTCACACACACATAAAAAGTGTCTCTCAACTGAAAGATTATGAACTGAGTCTTCCAAATAATGGACAGCAAACTCTGGAGTACCGTATTTTTTGGACCAGAAGATGCTGTAGATTATAAGATGCACCTAGCTTTTGTAGAGGGGGAAAAAAAAATCTGCCTCTGCCTCCCTGCAATTTGCTTCCTTGCAGTAAACAGCAAACACCCTGGTGAGCTTCAGAACAGCCTGGTTTAGCATGAGCAATGGAGGGGGCAGCACCAGTAATGGGCAGTGGCGATTCCCGGAGCCTGGAACAGCTAATAGATGATATTCCAGGATGCAGACCCAATCTCCAATCAGCTGCTCATGTTAAAGCAGGCTGTGGTGAAACTGACCAGGCTATTTACTGTTTGCTGCAAGGACGCAAATTGCTGGGAGACAGAGACCGAATGGTGGGAGCCAGTGGGTGGGCGGGGCTTTGGCAACATTCACTGTATAAGACACAGACATTTCCACCCACTTTTTGGTGGGGGGGGAATGTGTGCTATGTATCAAAAAATATGGTAAGTCCAAAAATGTTCATTAACTCACAGATTCTTTCCTTCAGCTCTCTGTTTCACTGAATATAATAAAGTAATAAAACTCATAAGAAACTTAGTGACTTAAATGTCATTTGGCAATGAATTGCTATCAAATTTTCCTAATTTAGATACATGAGTGGTCTGAGAAACAGGGAAAACTGCACAAACAGAATGATAGGAAACCACAGGATTCCAATCAAAGTTAAAAATCATGTTTTTTAAATCTCTCATTTGGGCATTTATTTACCCACTATATAACAAGGTGTTTTAAATTTTGTGTCTTTGAGTCAGTATTGACCCCTAGTGACTATCTGAACTAGTTCCTGCAGTTTTCTTGGCAGCATTTTCATAAATTCATGTGCTATCCATCAATAAAAAGTAATTTGAGTAAATTAAAATGGAATAATATTTCTGTTAGATGAAATATACCTCTGTCCACATTACAACTCATGATGTTTATGTGCAAATACCTCAGCAGAGCTGTTTTGCTCTTTCCATTGTTGTATTGTCTTTCTCCATCTCATTGCTGCAACTGCTAACTTCTTCTGAACTATATTGATTCCGGTCAGTACACTAAGTATAGAGTCGCTTCCCCACTCATAATCTTCCTCCTATAATGATACAGGTAATTCTCCAGTTACGACAGTTCACTTAACGACTGTTAGAAGTTATAACCCCTCCAGTACTTAGGACAGAGTCCCGAAGTTACGAATGTTGCAGCACCGCAGCTGTTTTTCACGCTTAAGAATGACCACAAAGGCACTGCAACATTTGCCCTGCCTAAAGTAGTGTGAGATCATAGGCTCCAAAAGCTTTCAATCTCAGCATGAAAAGTGTTTTCAAGCTGATGGGAGGCTTGAAGCAAAGTGATTTTGCTGCTCCAAAGTCACATCCGCTTATAAATGCTTTTCATGCCAAGACTGCAGGCAAACAAACTGCGGCAAAGAAGCTGGAGGGGAGACAGCTTGATTGATCTTCACAAGGTAAGTGATCTGGTGCAGCAGAATGGGAGGGGGAACGATTGTGGGGACCCCAGGGGAGGAAGCATGAGATGTCAGTGGGTTAGGGGAGGCATTGGGTGATCTGAAGCAGGTGGACTTCCATTCCTGCCCCCCCCCCCGGGCCTTCCCCACCTGAGATACCTCAGGTGCACTTAATGACCTGCGCATTCAATTAGTGAATGCATGGGCAAATGCAGGGAATGATTTACTCCAACGAATCCTGTAACAGCAGGCTCCATTAACTTTCTAACTCAAAGATGACATGTATTTAACTCTTGTCAAGTTTGAAGGAAATTTCAAACAAAATCTTAAGACAAATCATTGTCATGTGAAACTGGACAGAATAGTAGAAATTTTCAAAGCTCAATCTATTAAAATTATTTTTTTCGGTACAGGTAGTCCTCAACTTATGACCACAATTGAGCCTACATTTTTTGTTGTTAAGTGAAAAATTTGTTAAATGAGTTTTGCTCCATTTTACAAACTTGCTTGCCACAGTTGTTAAGTGAATCACTGCAGTTGATAAGTTAGGAACTTGGTTGGTAAGCAAATCTAGCTTCCCCATTGACTTTGCTGATAAGAAGGCTGCAAAATGGGATCACATGACCTTGGAACACAGCAATGGTCATAAATATGAACTGATTGCCAAGTGTCCAAATTTTGATCACATGACCATGGGGATGTTGCAATGATTGTAACTGTGAAAAATAGTCTAAATCACTTTTTTCAGTGCCGTAACTTTGAATGGTCAGTAAGTGAACTGTTGTAAGTTGAGGACTACTTGTATTCATGCGATAGCCAAATCCAATATTTTAACTTTCTTGGAAAAGGAACTCTCTTTCTGCTTCATATTTTAAGCAAATTTCAATAAGACCAGAATTTCTGAAAGCATACTTCATTTGACAAAAATTCTAATTCAGATTTATACTTATTGGATCTCTCTTCAGACAACTTGCTACTCACATTCATAATATAGATATAGCAATTTTTATGCAACCACATCCATCTATCATTCCTAACAAACCGTCCACTGAAACTTGACCTGTTTATTCAAAAGACTGTTGTATCTACTGAAAGTGAAAGGCGATGGATTTTAACTTAGCACCTTTCCTTAAGTTTAGAGAAAGAAATGGAATCACATATAGGACATTTGTTCAATTGCTTTCCTCCCTGCCAATCACTTGCTATTTTTACGCACTCACTCCAGAATAACAGACAATGAAGCACTGCAAAACATGCTTCCTTTCCCACTTCATTCAGCAGTGGGATTCTGAATAGGATGCTGGTCAGGGCATTAATGTTACATCCCAACAGAAGTAAAGGATATACTGCTCAAGTCTATTGAGACCTGTTTCAAGGATTTAAAAAGAGCCAGAAAAATACAGAATTCACTTGGGTGAATGGATTCATTGAGACAAACAGGGTTTTTAAAAGTCTTAGGTGTATGTAAAAAACTACAGTACTCTTGCTAGTTTCGAATGTATCATTTTTAAATGGCCAACCATGCTGTTACACACTATCGGCTTTAGATGAGATCACAATGAGCAATGGAAATCCTAATACCTTTATTAAGAGGGCAGTTACAATAATGCTTACTCTGTAGTTCAGGGGTGTCAAACTCAAGGCCCGTGATGCTTAGATCTGGTATGTGGGGCCATCCTGAAAACAGCAAAGGACTGCCCTTTGCCAGCAAAAACAGCTCAGTCCTCCCATGCCTGTTTTTGGCCATGACAGCCTCCTGCAACCCTCTGCCAGCGAGAACAGGGGGAGCTCGGGGGGCGTGGATGTGGCATGGGTGGCCCTCCGGGAATTCCATTTTCGTTGCAGAGAGCTGAAGGAGGGTGTTGCAGGAAAAAATGGGGCATGGGGGGGGGGGTCACACATCCCCAGGGTTCCATTTTCACTGGCGGAGGGCCAGCAAAACAAACTAAAAACAAAACAAAAGGAGAAATGTTTGCTCATTTGCATTTGAGCATCGAAGAAGGGACAGGAAAGAAAGGGAAAGAGGAAAAACAGAAAAAGAATGGAAGATGGGAAGAGAGCAAGGAAGGAAAAATAAGGAAAGGAGAATGAAGAGGAAAGAAAAAAGGAAAGGAAAGGAAGGATGTTATAATGAGTGAGGGAGGGTCTGAGGGAAGTTTTGTCTTAGCACTTGGCCACCACAGATACCCCCCGACATGAATGATATCAAGCTAGCCACAACTCGTCCCGGGCCACACACCCAGAGGTCAAACACAACGCTGATGTGGCCCTCAATGAAATTGAGTCTGACACCCCTGCTGTAGTTTAACAAAGATAGCAGCTCAAGGCATTTCAGTCCTTTCAGCAGTTCTGCTTAATTCTTTATTGTTCTGTTTATGGGCTGAAATCGTGCAAAGAAGTAAGACAGGAATTCCAAAGGTGCTTTTTCAAAAAGCAACTGGACTTTGTTTTTCTTGTAGATGTTTTGCTTCTCATGCAAGAAGCTTTTTCAGTACTAACTGAATCGTGGAGGATGAGTTTATATTTTTTGCAGTCATTTGATTGTTAGCCCTCTTTCTGAGAGTCATTCAGGGTGACCCTGTGCCTTCAGGGTCACCTGAATAGTGCAAATGGGTGTGGAGCCTTGCTAGAACAGCTGAGAGGACTGTGTTGTAAACAGGAGATAGATGATGCTGCATCCCTCCTCTGTTACGAGAGGGCTGTTAAGTCTTAATGTGGATAGTCTCTTTTATCCCTCTTTCAAACCAGTGTTCCTCTCTGTCCAGAGTGAATATTCTGTTTCAACCACCACAATATATATATATTCTCAATGCATACATACATACATACATTGGTTGGATTCAGACAAATATTTATTTACCATGAAATAGATACTGGGAAATTATGTTCTAGAGCAATGGTGGAGACCCTATGGCACATGTGCCAGAAGGGGCACTCAGATCCCTCTCTGTGGGCACATGTGACATCGCCCCAGCACAGAGTTTGTCAGAGTTTGTCAGAGTTTGACTCCTGAGGCAGCCCTGGTGGGATCAGGCATCTCGTGGGGTAGCTTGGGGGCAAGGTCTTCGCCCTGGGAGAAAGTAAGGGGGGGGGGAAGAGAAGAACCTGATGGAGCTGGAGTCCTCTCCCCACTCACTTTGTCCTTGTACTTTGGGTCCTCACACTTTGCCAGGGTGAGGACTCCACCCCCTAAGCTGCCCCATGATCCCACAGAGGCTGACCCAATCCCCTTCTCGAGCTTCACCCCCAGAGGAAAAGAAGCAAGGAAAGTCTAATGTGAAGCGCTTGGTTAAAAAGAACTAGAGCCTTTCTCCACGGCAGATGGGTAGCACCGAAGTCACAGGCCCATCAGGCAGTGCCGTAGACAGCCCTTGCTTGGACGGGACCTGAATTAACTGTCTTAATTTGGCTACAAAGGGAAAGTCACCCCCTGAATCTTGATATGTACAACTACAAGCCTCATCCATATAGCACTCTAAGTCATAAAGGGATTTTTTGGCTCGGCAAAGTCAACAAAGTGGACCATTTTGAGTAAAAGAGTGCAAAATATGACATATGTTGCATGAACATGTCATTAAACATATTCATTGATGAAGTTCTAGATTGGGATCATACTAAGGCACAATAGGATTTGTGGTAGGTTGTGTTACTTCAGAGAGCTTTGATGAAGCTGTTAACACAACCTGCCTAATAGAGTCTTCTATGTGCCCAGCATGTTGTACAAACTTAACATTAGAATTATAATTTACTCTCTGAAAAAAGGAGAATGGATGGATTACTTCAGTTATCAATGACTGGGTAATTTGTAGAGTTTAAAACAAATGTTGAATGTTGTTTTAAAATAATATAAAACAAAATAGAAATGAGGATAGAAAAATTCCCTCACCTTCTCCAAAGAAACCCAAGATATATTCTAATGGTTCTAGTACTTACAATTAAGACTCTTTTTGCCAAAAGGACTAATAAATACACTAGCTTTTAACTGCGGTAAATCATCCTAAGTCCATAAATTCTCAATCAAGTGGCTAAATTGATAGGGATGTTAGCCACTGTTAGCCCATATGTAAATGGATCTGAAAATATTTGCCTAATTGTGTAATGCGACAGACGTATTGACAGTCCACAATTAGACAGAGCATTGCAACCAGGAATATTTGGTGTCTAAGAATAGATGAAGTGGGCCATACACTTGCTAGAAAGATGAATGGGAAGGCTGTGTTTGATTTTGGAGTTCAAATCCTCTATTAATGTTGCCCAGATGTATTTGAGGATAGAGATTCCCTCTTTGAGGGGGATGGTCAGTTCACAAATGTAGAAATATAATTAAATAAAATTATGGTTGAGGTTGGCCCAAAATTGTAAATAACAAAAGTTTTGTATCATTGAAAGCTGTTTTGGGGTTTTCTTTTAAGACAAAATATGTTAATGTATGAGTTGTTTTTTCTAAACTAAAACCGGGTTGTCACTTTGTGATAAATAAGTGGGTTTTGGGTTGCAGTTTAGCACTCGGGCTCTAAAAGGTTCACCATCACTGGTCTAGAGTGTAAATTACATTAAAATATTAATGAATTTTAAATGGTCTTAATAAGGTTGAATACCTTTACAAAGCTGTCTGCTGCTCTGCATGCTTCCAAATAGGAACGATGAAGCACCCATTTTCCTGCTGCCATTGATGCCAAGAATTTCTCATTACGAAGAGGTTGTCCCACAATTGTATGTGTGCAGCTTGAATCAAAGCATTGCTTCTCCAACACCACTCCCCCTAAGGAATATATTTTTGTATTGTTATTTTAAATCAGAATTCCTTTTGTAGGAAAAGCAAATTTAGGAATTTAAGAATTATTCAGTAATTCAAGCAGTTCAAAAGAAACATGACTCAACATGTCTCTATGAGAATCAGGATACAACACTCCAAAAAAATCTTTGAATCACCTACCTAATTCTTCAATTAGCTGATAATAATTAATTCGTTCCTGAGGATTAAGAGAAGAGAGCTGAAATCTGTGCATTTTTGTTGGTTCTTCATAGTCCCTTTGGTCAATTTTAGTGATCTGAATATGAAACAAAGGAAAAACAACTAAAGGGTGAATAGGATGCATTCTAATTAAAAATATCTTCTTACATAAAAAAATTCTTGCATATATTTAGCAAGCCATCTTACATAAGTTTAGACTAAGTTATCAAACTTAAATTATCACAACTACAGTTCCAGTCCTTTAAGAAGCAGGTTATCAAATCCCCCTTTTCACATATTGCAGTGCTACTACATTGTCATTTATTACAGTAATACACTGCCACTATTTAGTATATAATAATTATAACAATAACAATAATTTGTGATACATTTTTAAATGTTCAGTTGACTGAGTTTCATGTTTAATGAATAAAAGAGGAAATAACAACAATAATAATAATAATGGTCAAGATATCACAGTGGTTGAGGGCCGAAGTGTACCGTCTATTGATATTACTATACCACGAGATGTCAGAGTCAAAGAAAAATAACTGGAAAAAAATCACGAAATATGGCGACTTGGCCATCGAAACAACACGGCTATGGATAAAACATGTAACAGTGATACCCATTGTCATCTGGGCACTTTGTACCATGTCCAGGAATTTTACAAAATGCATCAACATATTGCAGCTTCCTGCAATAACACCAGCGGAGCTGCAAAAAACTGCGCTACTCGGAACATCATATATTTTAAGAAGATACTTGGTTGATACCTAGGACGCTAGCAGCAACCCATATCAACCTTTGCCCCCAATCAATGGTATTTATGACACATTTTTAAATGTTCAGTTGACTGAGTTTCATGTTCAATGAATAATAATAATGATTTTGTTCATCATACAGTCAGACAGATGTTCAGACTGAATTTGGCACTATGGTCTACCTACTGAATCCGTGCAAGGACTAGTAGAACTAGATGACCTGTAAGGTCCCTTCCAACTCTGTTAATCTGTAACCTAACCTGGAATAGGCAGATGTGGATGTTTCATGGTGTTACAGATATCATTGCAGGATGTAAGCTGTTCCGAGTAAAGTTGTCTTTTGCAATTGACTGATGGTGAATTTGTCAATACCAATGATGTTAAAATGATGTTTCAGTTGTTTTGGGATTGCAGTTAAGCCACCTATTATTATTGGGACTATCTTTGCTTGCTTCTGCCACAATAGTCTAGAATCTAGACTTTTTCAACCTTTTTTGTGCAAAGGCACACTTTTTTCATGAAAAAAATCACGAGGCACACCACCATTAGAAAATGTTAAAATTTTTTAACTCTGT